CAATTTTTAGCTTGGTTTTGAAACTCTCCCTTGGGTGGTTTTGAAACCCCTAAGGCAGTAGCCAAAATTAGCCTTAAGGTTTCGAAATCCCCCTCAAAGGTTTCAAAACCCTTATTCAAAAGTCAATTTTTTTAAAAGAAGAGTTTTGAAACCCCTAGGTGGTTTCGAAACCTCTGTCTAGGTTTGCATTCAATGCGTGAATTTAATTCTTCAAATGGTTCCAAACTTCCTCTAACAACCACAAACGATTAAAAATAAATGAGGGCATATAAAAAGGGTCTTCAAATAGCCTAGAGAAGTTAAGAAATATATTCCAACGATCAAAGAGCAATTTGAGCTAAATTTGTATTTCATTGTGTCTTTCTTACATAAAACATTATTTCATTCATTGTATTTTTTTCATTCTAGTGTTCTTGGGTGTGTGTGAGAGCTTCAATTTGCAAACAATCTATCTTTTTGAGGATATTCAAAGTTTGCTAATTTGTAATTACTTCTTGGGAAGGGTTGAACACTTAAGACTCTGGGGTATAAGTCTTTGTGTTGTGTAAGGTTACATCTTGTCCTAAAAGGTTAGAACAAATTAGTGAATTTGTTGAAATCCTTAGTTAAGAAGCTAAGGTAGTAGATGTTGACTTTATTAAGGAAGTTGAATCAATCTAAATCCCTTGTGTCAATTTCTTACATCTTGCAAAAGCTTCCAACAATTTTTTAAAATTACCAATTCACCCCTCTTGATCACTTTCCTTGATCATTTGACTCAACAGTACCCATAATATATTTTATTTCTTGTAACATATTGTCTACCATCTAATAGATTTCTCCCATAATAAAATTTTAACAACATTAAATTCGATGATTTCTACTATCTTTTTAAATATTGTCCCAAAACTTATCATCATGAATGTTTTTAACTAAAAAAATCATTGTTTTAGTTATTACAATTTGTTTGTTAATTTAATCTTCCTATGACCTTAAAACTATAGTAGTTTCAAGGGACTCTTTATATTAAAACAACTTCTTTAACATTATGTAATATGAATCAAATTTTATCTTAACCACTTTCAACAAAATTCTAGTTGAATTAACCTTAAGTAATGGAAAAACTGTCGAGATAATGCATGTGGGAATGTTTAATTCCCAAAATAATGAACTCAGGCTATTATTTCTCCAAATGGGGTGTTTTCTACAGATAACATGCAAAGGTTGGGATCTCTCAGCGTTATCAGGGAAAGGGTTTAGGGTTTCTCGACGTCTTCAGCTTAAATTAGTTCAAAGGATCTCACAACGTCTTCAACATAAGAATTTCCATGCATGAAATGGATTGCTCGGCGTCTTATATGCAAATTATATGTGATTTGGCAGCCATGTATGTTACAGCTTGCATTCATTCAAAGGATCTCTCAGTGTCTTCAACACAGAATGTCCATGCATGAAATGGATTGCTCGGCGTCTTCTATGTTCGTTCAAAGGATGTCTCGACATCTTCAACAAAAAAATTTCCATGCATTAAAAGATCTCTCAGCGTCTTCATTGACAAAAATTTCAATCAAACTTGGATTGCTCGGCATCTTCTATCAAATATATGGAGTTCATCTGCATGCATGCATGCGTTGGGTAGGGACTCACTCCTCTTCATATTATTTTAATTATCGGAGTTTCTTTATTGGGTGCTTTTCCTTAATTGTATCTTTTCACAAAATAGAACCACGTGAAAAATAAGTAATCGAAGTGATCATTAGGTTGTTGGAATGGATTTTTCAATCTCATTAATTAAGTTTGGACTTTCTTGAGCGTCACAGTACCTGATTAAATGAAACAACTATTAGAAAATATCAACAGTGTGGCCTCACTGCCCAATCCTTGTACAAAAGACGTTATAGTACTTTAAATAAGATTAAAAATTTAAATTTGTATAGTGAATCAAGTAAAGTACATTATGAAAATCATCTATCTGATAAAACTTTATAATACAAGCAAATAGACATATTTTTAACAATAATATATTAATAATTTTATATAAACTTAATTAGACTCATACCCGATTTAACCCAAATTGGCCCGATCGCTAAACCCTATGGCTAAACCTTAAACCTTAAATTCTAAACCTTAAACCCACCTTAAACCCTATATGAACAAAATTAAATCAAATATAATCTAGACACAAAGTAAATTGATCTGAAAATGTTTCAACTTTGATCTGAAATGTTTCAACTTAAATCTAATACGAATGATCTGTTTGTCACCCCTACTTCTACTTAAACCTAAAAGCATTTTATAACATATACTCTTAATAAATAAAGAAAATAATTATACGTAGAAGTAGGGGTGACGAACGGATCATTCGAATTAGATTTAAGTTGGATCATTTCAGATCAATTTAGTTTGTGTCTAGATTACATTCGATTTAATTTTGTTCATATAGAGTTTAGGGTTTAGCCATAGGCTTTTAAAGTATAACTATTAACACGTTATATTTTATATAGATATAAAAAATAAACAAGAAGAAACACAGAATTACTGAAATGTCGATATCACCAAATCTGCTAATACGTTATACTTTACCCATAGGCTACCGAGTAGTGACCCACTTAATTGCTGAAAGTTTTCAACCCTTAAAAAATTAACCGATTCGTATTGACCTGAACCAAAAATTAATTGATCTAATATTGACTTAACCCTAAACCCTATATAAACAAAATTAAATCGAATGTAATCTAGACACAAACTAAATTGATCTGAAATGATCCAACTTAAATCTAATTCGAATGATCCGTTTGTCACCCTTACTTCTGCGTATAATTATTTTATTTATTTATTAAGAGTATATGTTATAAAATGCTTTTAGGTTTAATTAGAAGTAGGGGTGACAAACGGATCATTTGTATTAGATTTAAGTTGGATCATTTCAGATCAATTTAGTTTGTGTCTAGATTACATTCGATTTAATTTTGTTCATATAGGGTTTAGGGTTTAGAGTTTAGCCATAGGGTTTAGAGATCCGGCCAATTAGGGTTAAATCGGGTATGAGTCTAACTAAGTATATATAAAATTATTAATATATTATTGTTAAAAATATGTCTATTTGTTTGTCAATCTTATCATTCGTGCTCATTTCAACTTTTAATCATTTAATATTTTGAATTAAACAATAATTTAGAGATGTTAATTTAACCCAAACTCGATCTTATAATACGTGTTAGAATATGTAATTCAAATTTTATATTGATAAGTTTTATAAAAGTTTATAGATGGTCCAACTACAATTTGGATCGATTTTTATTCGAGTCGAGTATAGTTCGGGTTTTGGATCAAATTTAATCATCATTTTTGAGACTATTTCGGATATCAAACTGGATAAAACCGATTCGAACAATCGAATTAGGATCAAGTTTAACATATCCACGTGGAAGCCTGTAATTTGGACACGTGACTTCATTGCTTGTATTTTAAAGTTTTATCATATAGATGATTTTCATAATGTACTTTACTTGATTCACTGTACAAATTTAAATTTGTAATCTTATTTAAAGTACTATAACGTCTTTTGTACAAGGATTGGGCAGTGAAGCCACACTATTGATATTTTCTAATAGTTGTTTCATTTAATCAGGTAGTGTGGTCCATAGACGCTCAAGAAAGTCCAAACTTAATTAATGAGATTGAAAAATCCATTCCAACAACCGAATGATCACTTCGATTACTTATTTTTCACGTGGGTTCTGTTTTGTGAAAAGATACAATTAAGGAAAAACACACAATAAAGAAACTCTGATTATTAAAAGAATAAGAAGAGGAGTGAGTCCCTACCCAACGCATGCATGCATGCAGCGTTGCTTTCCACGTATGAACTCCATATATTTGATAGAAGACGCCGAGCAATCCAAGTTTGATTGAAATTTTTTTCAATGAAGACGCCGAGAGATCTTTTAATGCATAGAAATTTTTTTGTTGAAGACACCAAGACATCCTTTAAACGAATATAGAAGACGCCGAGCAATCCATTTCATGCATGGACATTATGTGTTGAAGACGCCGAGAGATCCTTTGAATGAATGCAAGGTGCAACATACATGGCTGCCAAACCACCTATAATTTGCATATAAGACGCCAAGCAATCCATTTGATGCATGGAAATTCTTATGCTGAAGACGTCGAGAGATCCTTTGAACCAATGTAAGCTGAATATGCCGAGAAACCCTAAACCCTTTCCCTGATGACACCAAGAGATCCCAACCTTTGCATGTTATCTGTAACAAACACCCCAACATTTCCACATTCATTATCTCGACAGTTTTGCCCTTAAGTAATATTAATAAGTATTTGTGATTGGTGAATAAGTTCACAACTTATATTTTATATTCGTACATGTTTTTCATCTATAGAAAAGTCTGATCAAAATTTCTAAAAATCATGTTTGAAATAAGAAAAACACAAGAAAAACAAAGAATATGTTTTATGAGCATTTCGAATTACTTTTCTAGCAGTTATGTAATTCTTGCATTATCTATGACAATTTGAACAATGTCTAAGGGCTTAAATTTTTTAATTATATCTAATAAAAATTCATCAATCACTTATTATGTTTTCTCCACTCCATTGAAGATGCCATAATACATAAAAATGATTCTACGATTGTTTGTTGTAACGATATTGATAAATCAATCTTGTTTGTTATCGGACTAGATTATCCGAAACACCAAATACACCATAAATATACAAAGTGTCTTGGGGTCAATTCTTTTTCAATGCTATGTAACTTTCATTAAGCAAATTAGAATAAATGAATTCAAGCGAGATCTGTGAGAATGGGGCAAATTAGGTAACACCTCGTGGTTGATTGAAGCAAGCGAAATTTGAAATTCTAATGATGAAATTGGAAAGGTTTTAAGAAAGAGCAACCAAAATAGATACATGAAAAAAGAAAGGGACTAAAGAATGTAGTTTAACCTATTTTTTATTATGTATTTTTTGGAGCTTCTTTGGAAACAGAGCAAAATTACTACTCTTTTCGAGTTTGCTTCTCTTTCGCCTCTGCTTTTCTCTGGTACTTCCTCTTTCTTTCTCTGCCGTTGATTCCTCGTGCTTTCCTTTAAATCTGCTTGTATTATACAATGTTATAGTTTTGTTTTCTGTCGATTAGGTTTAATTTCTTTCTGCCTTCTGATCTGAATGATGGATTTTGTTCTATAATGATTTTAAATGTAACCTTTTGTCTTTAATGGGTTATTGGAAATTTAGGTAATTTCTGGAATTATATTTGATTGTTTAAGCGCTATATATACTTATTATCGTGTACTGTTTCTATGATTTTGCCGGAACGCCGGATTTTTGAGGCAACTTTTTTAATTTGCGTGTACTGTTTATTAACTTGGGGTTTAGGAAAGGGTTTTGTTTTGAAGTAAAGAATCTGTTTGTGGAATGCTATTTACCATGATTATTGTGGAGATTTGTAGCAATTGTAGCCCCAGCTTGCTTTTTGGTGGTTGTTTCTCCCTTGAAGCAAAGTTCAACAAGTGTGTTTGTCTATTCAAAAAAAATGCTTCTGAATAGTTGAAAATTGAAAACAAGAATTTCTATAACAGCTTAAAAACTTGATTTTTACTTTTAAGAGTTTGCTTGGGGCACCGTTAGTTAGTATCCCATTTATTGAAACCTAGTAGTGCTTACACTTTTCTGTATTGAAGTTGTTTAAGCGAATTGAATGAACTGATTTGTTTCATCTGATTCATTTTTGTTTACGATTGATTTTTCGTTTCATATGAGTTTTGATAGTCATAAGCTTCTTTTTGTTGTTTTGGTTGCTTACACTAATCCTTGCGCACTATCATTCCATTTTTTGGTCATGTTTCTGCCATTCCCCAATGCCGATATAGTGATGGCATGTTTTTTCAAGAAGATATCTCAAACCAATTTTGCACGCATTTGCTTTTGGATAATTAACTTTTTGTTGGTATTCCCTTGCTTTACAATGCAGCTTACAGTATGCCGGAAGACGAGTACCGTTGTTTTATTGGTAACCTTTCATGGTCAACATCTGATAGAGGCCTAAAAGATGCATTTGACAAGTTTGGAAATCTTCTTGAGGCTAAGGTAATTAATCCTGAAACCCTCTCTTCTGGGCATCTCATATTCTTTAAAATAAAATGAAATTCTGGAGTTACCGATTATCTATTTATCACCATCAAATCTGATCCCGGTCAAACATTGATTTTTATTCATTGTTGCAGTTATACAGTGTAGTAGTTTTCCTTAATTCATAAGCTTTTCTAGTGTCTTTGTTTGCACGTTGTTGACCGATCTCCCTTATGAAAAATATTCTTTCTACCTCTGGATGTCAGTTTATTCTCCAATTTAGATTGGAGGCAATTCAAAAGCTGCAATGATTAAGTACTTTAGGTGACAGTAATATGTTTTATGGGACAAACTGGTAATCATAATAGCATGTTTTTTTAAAGCACGAATAATCATACACTCTCATGTGATTCATCATTTTTCGAATACATTTTGGCTTGCACTTCTCACTAATTTTTACATGTTTTAGTTAATCATCAATTTGATTTGACACAGAAAACTTTTGTTTGACTCAGGTAGCTGTTGACAGGTTTTCTGGCCGTTCTCGTGGATTTGGATTTGTCACTTTTGATGAGAAAGCTGCAATGGAAGAAGCTATTGAAGCAATGAATGGAATGGATTTGGATGGGCGGAATATAACTGTTGATAGAGCTAAGCCTCAACAAGGGTCAGGGAGAGATTATGATGGTGACCGTAGCCGTGATAATGGACGTGATCGTGATCGTGACCGTGACCGTGATCGTAAACGTGGCTATGATAGAAGTCGTGGATCCAATGGCGGGGAATGTTTTAAATGTGGGAAACCTGGACATTTTGCTAGGGAGTGTCCTAGTGATGGGGCTAGGGGGGATAAGTACGGTGGTAAGGGGGATCGTTATGGTGGTGGCAGTGATGGTGGTCGCCATGGTCCTGATAGAAATGGTGATCGGTTTGGTGGGCGTAGCAGGGATGCAGGTAGTCGAGGGGGGTCTGGTAGTGAAAGATATAATCGTGATCGTTCTGGACCATATGAGCGTCGTGGAAATGGAGGTCCTCGTTCTGGATGAGATGACTTTTTGTCGTATGTGGATCCACTTTTCTTATCCTTTTGGCTTGCTAATATCTCTTCTTTTCCACTTTCAGAGACTTCCTAATTATCACTTTGCTAATGGAAGCATACTTTGAATGCAGCAGATGAACAAGGGTTGCTGCTTTTATGGTGAAGCTTGAAGTCTTCTTCTTTTTTTTCCTCGTTTACTGGATGTTCTATCTTCGTTGTTTTGTAGGGTGAACCTATATTATCGTTCAGTTCTTTAACCTTTGAAGTGTGAAACTTGGCTTTGTTTTCCTAATATGCTGTTTTTGAAATTTGTTTCGAAGGATTCTCGTGCTTTCTTGACACACTTTCAAATATGGTCTTTTGGTCTGAATGCTTGCATTTTTGTGATTCATGCGTTATCAGCAGAAATTGTCATTGCTTCTGTATTAATGCTGTTGACCTTTTGGCAGGATGCTTGGCCGTTTACTTTGTGCCCTTTATGGATACTTGATTGGGTTTCTTTCATGCTAATTGGACATGGTTATATATACTTTTAACATTGAGAGTTTTTTTGGCACAACAAGGGAACTGTGTACTAATTGAACATATAAGCACACCCCATGTTCTTCATGGTGCATTGATGGAAGAGTTCAATTTCCTCTAAATCCATGGTAGGTTGTTTGGAAGCTCATAGATGAGTTCATCAACATCCGCCGTTCCCTCCCACGAGCCTATGTAATCCGGGTGCAGATTGCCATGTTTGTGCATCGAGCTATAGTGTTTTCATCCACTTTGCTAAAAATCCTGGGAAGTGTTTAAGATATATGGTTGGTTTCAGCTTAAGATCGCGCTTTCCTTTTATGGCTAGCGTTAACATTCGTTTGGATTTTGAGAGTTGGTTTGTATCCATAAAAGACCCCAGTTATTAGAATATTAGTGTTTTTTTTTTCTCAAACAAGTAGGATTGTTCAAATGGTTAATTCAGTCATCGATTGAACCGAATTAGCAATAGTCAAATTAATTGAATTTTTTTGCAAAATTTTTAGTCAGATTAGTTCGAGTTTAATAGAGATTTTTTTATTTGGATTAAAATTTGATTCAGTCTTTAAAGTTTTTTTTGGCTCTAATGGTTAAAATAATAGTTGAATCTTAATCCTTAACGAGTTTGGATTGAGGGACGGAGTTTGGATTAAACTATAAGGGGATAAGTTGTTCAACTTTGAAATAAATAAGATCTTTGAAATTGAAAAAAATGATAAAATTTAAAGAAGTTATCATTTAATTTTACTAATTTTAAAATTAAAGAGTCTTAAAATGTAACTAAACCAAAAAAGAATTAGAACTCAAAATTTCATTTTAGAACTGAAAGGTATTAAAATGTAATTAAATTTGTCAATTTGAGAGGGGCACTAACTTAATTGTTATGATTTTAAAACTATTGGGGACTTAAAACCAATTAAGCCATACATAATTTCGTCATTGTTGGAGCTTAATATATATATAATATAATATATTTAATATTTAATATTTTTAATTGATTTAGTTACTTAATCAGTCGCAAACTAAATTAATTTTTTTAATTGTTAATCAATCTAACATTTCATTAACCAATCGATTAAACAAATTAAATTTTAGTTGGATGAATTAATTCGATTAAAATTAAAATGGAACAATAAACATTACTGAGCAAAAGAAGAAAAAAAGAGTGCATGCATGGTTGATACGTGGGTTGCATATGGGTAAGATGAAGATTGCAAGCGTGGTAGTGCCGGTTAAGCTCCAAATCCCAAAAAGCAGTCTCCTTTGATCATAATTGGAGTTGGGAATTGTTATCCAATCCAATCCGTCTCACTCAAAACTTCTTTAACATTTCGTAAAGGCAAATCCATGATCATCCACAAACACACACTGCCTCTCAATGATTCTACTCCGTTCTCTTCCACATCCCATTACTGTATATTTAGATTTCACTCTCTTAAACTAATAATGAAGTTGACGCATTTTCTAATCAAATAATAATATAATATATTTAGAATTATATCTACGGAACGCATCAATAAAAATTAGATTACGGGCTCAACTCATTATATATTCATATAAGAAATTTTAATAGATATGAAGATCAAATAATTTGTTCATAATTAGCAGTTACATACGTTCCAAAGATGTACACTTTTTCTCTTAAATATGCCATTAACTACTCATCCATACGATAAAAAGAAATTATTCCATTAATTGCAGAATTAATAAATAATAATGATATATATGCTCTGTTTCCCACTTTTTAGGCTTTAATGTTAATAGGAGGTACATTGGAACTAGACCCATTTATAACTCGTGCCAAATTTATATTTATCCAATAAAAAGTTATTTAAATTTAATAAAAGTGTTATAAATATTTTTTTTCCATTTTACTTGAAACTGTAGTATAAATAAGTAGAATAATGCAATTTGATTATGACTAAGTTAGAGAAGTTGAGCTGTTTAAGTTGAAGAAATAAAAAATAAATTAAATAGATTTCTCTTTTATTTGATATATTGTCAATGAACAAATTTATGCATTTTAAAATAAAGTTTTATTTCTATCATGATGATAAACATTTTAGTTCATCAGGATTTATTAAAACTTATATATGTAAACAATTATATGAAAATAAAATATTTTGAATAAGATTATAACATTTAAAAAATTACAGAAAACAATATAAATTCAATATTTGAGAAAGCTACCATGAAATGATAAAACCTAGAAGCGCACACAAGACAGGTAATAAATAAGCAAGGCCATGGTCATCATCATGATCCATGCATGTGCATGGCAAGTTATATATCCATTGACGGCGCACCATCTTCCAATGCAATTATATGCTTCACTTCGTCGCCCTATATATACTCCCATTAACGCCTTTTCAGATTTCCAAAACCATAATCTCCACTAGTATTTTCTCTTGATTTGTTCTTATCGCCACGTTTTCAATCTGCAATCTTCTTCTTCTCAATCTCGAGAGAAGAAAAAAGAAAAAGAAATGGAAAATCACATGCCGAAGTCTGAAGTAATCGCCAAAGAAGAAGAACACTCATCTCCCTTACAACCACAACTTCCAGTAGAATATTCAAGGTAAAATCTTCTTCTTCTCTGCGATTGTAAGCAACATTGTGTTCTTTCTCATGAATTTTCTGTTTAAAATGATTTTGCAGTGGAAGTGCTGTGTACTGCGATACGCTGGATTTGCAGTACCATGAGTTTTTCATGCAACAAAGTTTTTACGATCAAGTTCCATTGTTGATGACCGACACTTTGTGTCCTGATCCTTTATATGCTTCATTAGACATTGAACAAAGTTCAAGTTTATCTCAAGGTTGGATCTTTTTTTCTTAAATGCAATTCATTAAATGTATTCAATCATCAATCTTAATGTATATATTTTGTTACAGAAAATGGGAATGGATTCTGGGATGAACTTGGTTTCTTATTCGAGCCACGCAAATGCGACAAGCCAGTGGACGAGAATCATGATATGAATGGTGAAGAACAAATGATGAAGAAAGAGATTGTTTCTGGTGATAATAGGGAAGAACAATGCAAAACTAGGGCAAAGTATTTGTCTAGGAAAGTAATCTCACAATATTTCTACTTTCCTATAACTCAAGCAGCCAAAGAGCTTAACGTTGGGTTAACTTTGTTGAAGAAGAGGTGCAGGGAGCTCGGAATCCGGCGGTGGCCGCACCGCAAACTTAAGAGCCTCCTATCTCTTATCAACAACATTCAGGTATTTTCTTTGTACTTTTTGTTAATAATCTATTTTCACTATTACTAATATAAAATCATGGACCGGAAATATGAATCGATAATGCAGGAGTTGCAGGAGGGGGAGGGGGATGAGGAGGAAGGAGAAGGGAAAGTGAGGGAAGCGGTGGAGGTATTGGAAAGGGAGAGGAAGATGCTGGAAGAGATGCCGGACATGAATATGGGATATGATACAAAGAGACTCAGGCAAGCCTCTTTCAAGGCTAATTACAAGAAGAGAAGGCTTGTGTCATCGGCAGTGGCTGTGACGGCTGCTCAGTCGCAATGTTCTGCCGGTGGAGGTGGTGGCCGTGCCATTGATTTGGATTTTTTTACAAGGGTTCTCTATCACAGGGGTTTGTCGGACTCTTGTTCATCGTCCATCACCATTAACAAAATGTAGAGAGTTGGTTTTTCATCTCTAACAATTGAGATAAATAATTTTCGGAATTCAGACGCCATCTACCTATGATTACGTTTTACTGTTAATTATTAGAGATAATATCAACTTTTGATTACGAGTAAACAACACTAATGTCTTAGTTAAAATTAATATAATTTTAGAGAGAAAAATCTCAAAACTATTGAGTAAATTTTGAAGAAGAGTGAAATATTTTTTTTATTTAAAAAATTAATTTAATTCAATCTTAACAAATTATTAATACTATTATTAATCCAACAATTATTCACATTTGTAAATTCGATATATAAATAATTATATTTATTTAATATAAAAATAATAGAAGTATTTTTTTAATAGTTTGAGGTAATATAATACTTGTTTAGAATCTTTTCTTTTGATAATACCCAAATATCATGCAAACATAACTGCTTAAACCAGAAACTTTTATGAAGAATAACACTCCCTTTTATTACGAGATCGTTCAACATGTTAAAAAAATAATCGTATTATTTTATAAAAATATTAATATTTTTATTTAAATAATTATAATATCAACAAATAAACATTTTAATAGCATATGGCAACTTAATTAAAACCCTAAAATTTATGGAATCGGTTGATGCGCTTATCTTAATCTGTTGAGTTGGGTTGGTTTATAAAGTAGCCAAAAAGTTAGGGAAGTGGTTGCAAGGATAGTCCACAAAGGCCATGCTTAAGATGGGGGTGTAAGTGAGAGAGAGTGATGAACACAAATGTTATCAACATATAAAAAAAGACTTAACCCTTTTCTATCCCAGTACGATCCTCCTACAAGTGGTCACCTTTTACTTTGGAATCTCAATTTTTTTTCTTAACATTCAACAATTTCATCACAAATACCGAGACAAAGAGGCGTTATAATCACATAATACTAAGAAACAGTTGTTTCAGGATTTCATCTTTGACCTCAATCATCATTTCACTAGTACATCTATATAGATATATCCTGGAATCACTATTATTAACTTCCTACACCAGATATTCATATCATTGAATTCTACACCCACCTGAGTCCTCCCCATGGTGAACATTGCCATAAGCTGAAAGTTCGATCAAATCCATGTCCCGACCTAAAAGTTCGATGGAACAGTTGAAAGTCACGGATTAGAAAATTCGGTAGTCATCTTATCAGGAAAAAATATATATTGTACGACATTACATTTACCTGAAACCCGGCAATAAGAACTTCTCTGAATAAGATCAGCTTTGGACAACTCAGTCCGGTTTCCCTTTGATCGATTAACAGTTGCCTAAATTTATCGAAACAAGATCCCAAACATCAGATTCAAAATTATTATTGAACCCCATGGTACTACTAATACAGAACACTTTAGATCAGCTTTTTCTGAATCAGCTGATTCTGGAAAAGAGAAGCCCAGATCCTCACAAATGGGAATCAAAGAATTATAGTGAAAGATTAAGCACTCAAATATGAACCAACATGTTTCCGTTTAGGGCTGCAAACAAGTTGAATCGACTCGAGTATTGCTGAGCTTAACTTAACTCGAAAACTCAAGATCCTAAAATTTTGAAGCTTGACTCAAACTCAAAACCTCATAAAAGCTCGAAATGAAAAAAATCTTAAAATTAACTCGATTGAAGCCTCGAACTCGAACTCGAACCTTAAATACATGAAAAGGTTATGTTGCATTTTTTTAAATCAATACATAAATATTAATATTATTAATAATTTATTTTTTTAAAAATAAAATCTTAATATACTATATTTTCGAGTTGCTCACGAGCTTTTCGAGTCAAGAATCAAGTAGCTCATTTCGGCTCATTAAGAGCTTAAGTCGAGCTCGAGCTTGAATCAAGTCCATTCGAGTCGAGTATTTATCGAGCTTTGACTGAGTTGATCTCGAGTAACTCACAATCTGTCTCATCTCATTTACAACCCTATTTCCTTTAAACACCAATATCTTCTAAAAATTGTGTTTGGATGAGGAAAAAGGTTCCCAATGAACTCTATTTGGAGGGTTAGCCAAAGCCCTAATAAATGGTCCTCACTTTGAAGTGCCATCATAGGCAGATCCACATACAAGAATGTATAGGCTACCATTTATCCATATCCTTAGTAATGTATGGGTTTTCATCTATATCCTTGAGTATAGGTTAAGTTCTAGCTGTATACTTCTTCCTATATAGTCGTCTTCTCTATAAAGATTGACTGCATTAATAGAAAGAGTTAGTTATCACTTAAAAATACAGAAAATATTGACACACCGAAGACGATCACTTAGTTATGTTATGGTGAAAAAAACAGTGCTACTAAGACTTCGACAACACATCAGGACGTGGTTCTCTCTCATTTCTAATCCATTCATTTCCCAAGGTTTGAACCTAAGATCTATTGGAAACCGGTTTAACTCTGTTATCTACTAATCAATGTACTTACTTCCTAGGGGTTGAACCTTTGGAAACCGATTTAACCATCATCCTCTAAATTATGCAATTCCCAGAGTTTGAACCCGAAATCTCTATATTGGAAATTGACAACTGATGTCACATTGAAAACAGGAGTCACTTTCTAACTAAAGAAAAGATAGACCAGAGCAAGCAGCTTTGTAGATGATCGCAATTTCCATGCAAGGAATTCTTTTTTTCATTTAAGGGTAAATTATGTGTTTAGTACCTAAACTATCAGTTTTGGTCCGTTTTAGTACCTAAATTTTCAATTTTTCAAAATCATACATAAAGTTTAGTTTTTGTTTCATTTTAGTACCCGTTCAAAATTTAACGTTCAATTTTGAAAAAAATTGAATGTTTAGGTACTAAAACAGACCAAAACTGATAGTTTAGGTATTAAACGTGTTAAGTTTTTAACGGCGGGTACTAAAATGAAACAAAAACTAAATGTTAGGTATGATTTTGAAAAAATTGAAAGTTTGCATACTAAAAACAGGCCAAAATGATAATTTAGGTACTAAATGTGTAGCCTACCCTTCATTTTATTAGAAAAGAACAAATGACACAACTTATCATCTTATGTAGCTGATATTTAACTCACTTTTACCAGTTGGAATACCAATTATGAGATTTTCAGCAATGAAGATTGTTAACCAAATACTAGTAAAAATATTACTAGTTAACCAAATTCTTAGTTAACCTAATACTAGTGGATGAAAGTCTGCTTGGTCTATTGTATGTTAAGAAAGACGTGCCATAATACCATTGAGACCTTAATAAAATTCTTAGTTAACCAAATACTAGTAAAAATATTACAATTAACATTCTTTTGCCCCCACTAACTTAAACTTTTGGTTTCACCACTGGCTGGTATCAGGCCAGAGAATGGCAATTTCAACTGTTCTTGGCTACTCATAATGGCAATTTCAACTGTTCTATGGCTACTCATACCATGCAAACATAATTAAGACTTGGTTTTTAAAGAGCAAGGTGCACCGAGACGCAAAAGGTCTCCGGAGCCTAGGCGCAGGCTTGCGCCTTTCGTATGCAAGGCACACTTTTTGTGTAAAATTTTTTTATAAATTAATTTAGAACAGATCCACGTCTATTAACTCCTGGTTTACTCCCAAAACATTTAATTTCCTTCCCACACTATGTTCCTTTACTATTGTTTATTCCCTCCTCAAGAGTCCAGCCCTATTTCTACCATTTACAAAACTTTACCTTCCAAAACATTTCAAAACAATTAGGGTTACACACTTGCACTATAACAAACTAATGGTTGCATGTTTCAACTAGGTGAAACAATAATTTTTCCACACAAATTAACAAATGAACAATAACACCTATCCTAAGGTAACATTGCTATTATAATTATATTATATTTCAATTATAGAAAATTATTATAATTATAAAATTAATTAATTATTATTTATTTATTTATATATTAGATAATTTTTTTATATAAAGAAGGGTGATGGGCATAGGCGGTAGCATAATATTTATTACATTAGTTTATTATAATAGATCTTATTTTTTATTAGTATAAAGAAAGAATAAAAAAGGTGAGAGGGCATAGACGGCAGTAGAGTGCTTTTGATTAAAAGCAGGCAAAATGTGAAAAAGTTATAATGGGCTTGGGCTGATTGATTAATAGGTTAAGTAACTTTATGTATTAGGGTTAAGATAGTGAGAAAAATGAGTCTGCCCTAGCCGTTCTTCACCACTGTTCTTCTGCCGCTATTCTCCTATCTTCTTCTTTTATCTACTCTACGTTTTCTTCCAAAAGCGCACAAGCGCTGGTCCCGCCGCCAAACTCGGAGGCGAGGAGCCTCTCGTATGCCGCTTCGCCCAGACCCAGGCGGGTGATTTTTTTTGGCGCGAGACGCAAAACCAAGAATTAAGATAGTATCCAAAGGAAAGATTATATTCAAAAACATATTATGTAGATTCATCTAAAAAATACGTAAAAATGATTAGGATCCTTCAATATGTTTAGTTAAAAAGTTCCATTACCAAGCTTGATACTTGGCTCTTTTCTTTTTCTATCCTTTTTCTTATGGGGAATTTATAATGGCTTCACTACGGTAAGGCAAATCAAGGTGGACTAGTTGCGACTCAATAGACCTTTGCAATCAGTTCAATGAGAGGAAAATGTGAGCCCAGAGAGATGATTCTCGGACCTCAAATTGCAACATTACTATCATTCATGTCAACAAAGTGTATTAAAAACTCAAGGAAAGTAGCTGTCAATCCTGTTAGCTATCTAAATGCATGAAAACATCAACAACTTTTAGTAGACTGATATCACTATCGGTCTTGGCCCGACATGCCTTACTGCATTACAATATATATATATATATATATATATATATATATATATATATATATATTGGCAGGATGCATGAAATTTTAAAAACAGAAGCATATTAGTTTTTTTTCCTGAAAAGACATTAGGAAATTTAGAAAAACAGAAAGAAAAATTAATGTTGAATATGCCATAAGAGGGAAAATCTCATACCTGTAAAACCTGACAGTTTTCTAGCGTGCTTTTTCCTCCCTGAAATTCATGAAAAGAATATTAATCAAGAGTCAGGCTCTATATTTCCAGAACAAAGATACATGATTTCATGCATATTATAATACTACACAATATTCAAAAGAGCTGGAAAGTTCAGGGACGGTCTTTGAGAGCTTGAATAACAACGAGACTATCTTGGAAAGAAATCAACTTTGTCTATACTCTATAGTAAGCTAGAAGGCGTCCTGTGAATACATGATGCTTTGACCCTACAAATTTAAACGTTTTGAGCATATGACCCTACAGCGTGAGATTAGCCTCAAGTTCCCAGGGCTCAGAAGGTCCTCCTTAGAAACTTATATAATCTCGTATGTGAAAAATGTTGAATGTGAACATCAATTAAACGAACCAGTCCAGCTTAACAGGGAACCTTTCACATGCTGCCTCCAGACCCATCAACTACTATGGCTTTCTACCACCTTATGGCCAACTTTTGATCTTCGCTTATTGTTACTTTTAGAGTTTTATTAGTACTGCTACACATCATGACAGCCAGATTCTTCTACCAAATGATTCCCGCCCAACAGAGATTGAATTTCTTTGCCTCCCATAAGTAGCGCTAGCACTTCAAGCTTTGCTTTATTTAGAGTAATTAAGAATAAATTATTCATCTAAAATGGAACTTCTCTATAGTTCTACAAAACATTTCCACTATGAAATGGAAAAGTCATGACCAGTGCGGAACTAGAATTATATCTTTCACTAAGGGATCTGATCAATTTTGGTCCCTGCAGATTCAAAGTCTGAACATCGTAGTCTACAGAATATAGCAATGGAATTCTTTGCAATTTAGTGATCAAATTCCCAAATTCCATTGTAGTCTAACAACCAATTAGCAGAGGTATATTTTCACACAAGAAATGGAGCAACAAATCAACTTTAATCTTCAATCTTGTTTTCTCTCTTCTTTTTTTTATAATATCTGCTTTAACTATAATGGATCAAGAATCATTTTTTTTCTGGAAATAAATTCTAAGGTGCATGACCTAAAATCATATCAGAAATAACACTATGCAGGAGCACTTTCACACAATTATCCATAATTTTAGAGGAAATGAAAGATGTGCCTTCAAAATAGTATAAAGTATGTTGCTCGAATTATTTTTCTTGAAGTACCTGACACACATCTTATGAATATTAACAGGATACAAGTATGAAGATATTACTCTCAAAGAACCTTCTAATACATGGAAAAAACTTCAAAAGAACAACACAACCTGAGTCCGATATATCTATATATTTGACACACAACCTGAGTCCGAGTACCATTGGTCTAAACAACACGAAAACTTAGCATCATACAAGCTAATAACCACCTAATTCAAAGCTATTTCTCCATGATTACGAGTAGATAATTATAATAACAAAAATGCTCAGGAAGTACAAAATGAAGCCAGAACAAACCTACGATACCCAAACCCACTTCAGAAAACAGCTTCAATAAACAGGATAAAACAAAAATTTAAGGTAGCTTTTGGAAACTTAGATTTCGAAAGATTGATCAGGGTTTAAAAAAAAAGTGACTTTTGTGATGAAACACATACAAATGTAATGACGACTTCTCATATTCATTAAATCGGGTGCCTATTCAGTAATAGTGTGAAATTCATAAACATACTTGTGAAGTTGAGAATTCATATTTTTGATTTAAAAAATATATGATAATATGGAACCTCAATTAATTTAGACAAAATTAATGCATTTCAATTCACAAATCATAGAACAAATTAAATCCAAATTCATGTTCATAGAAACAACAGAAACTTTCAATTCAAGTGGGAAAAACAAAAGCATACCTTGGAGTAAGGGATGATATGGTCATAGTCATGGCACAAGCAACCAGGACAACCAACAAGCTTCCTGAAAACAATGTTACGAACAGCGTCACGCCGCCAGCGAGTTGGGTCTCGTCCCTTGACCTTCTCGGCTTTTTCCCAGCATTGTTGTTTGACGCTGTAAGGAAAGCTCCTGGGATTAGGGCTTGAATCCTGTGAAATTTGGAGATCTTCAAAGAGACCGGTGATTGCAGGGCTCCCTTCTCGCTCCGTCACCGCGAATTCACCGTCGACCAAAGAGGCCGACGGTGGCGTAAACTTTGATGTACGCGAACGACGCGGGGAAGATGGGCGGGACTTTGATTGTGCCTTGGGCTTGGAATCTTTGCCATCTATTATCATTTTTTCTTTTTTTGTCTCTGTGGATTTGGTTGGTGTTAGGAGGGAACCTCACTTAAATTCTTCCAATCCAGATAAGGTTAAACTACGCATTTTTATCACTCAACTTTAACATTTTTCAATATGATTCCTCAACTTTTAAGTCTGTATTGGTTTGGGTCTAGGGTTAAGGATGTGAAATCAGGTAACTGTTTAGGTTTCGGTCGGATCCTTCTAGGTTTGGTCAAATCTGATACAGATCGTACTGGGTCAATTTGATGGTTTGACTAGATCAGGTCAGATCCAGGTCGAATCAGTTCGAGTTATTTTCAGGTTGATTTGACATCAGATTCAGTTCAGATTCAGATCGGGTTAATTTCAGTTCGAATCGATGTCAATTTAGGTCAAAATGATTCAAGTCTGAATTAGTTAAATACCATGTTAATTCATGTTCAAATGGACCTCGGGTTGGATCTCGTTCAGATCGAGTCACATCATTGAAAGTAAAAATTTAGGTCGGATATTATCGGGTACGGATTGACTTCAAGTCGGGTCATTTTTGGGTTAATTATTTTTCTCCTTTCATGAATGATGAATTGTAATTTGTAATTGTATATGATTTGGAGTAAATTAAAAAAAAATATAAATAATTACGGGTCAATTTTAATAAAAATATAATTTTAAAGACTAAATTAAACAAACATTAAATTACAAATTGGAATTTAAATAAATTAAACAACACACATGGATGATGGATCAAATTGAAATAATTATAAACGTTAAGTTGAAATTAATATAAAAACAGACTAAATTGAATCCATTTAAAAAGTTGGTGAACAAAAGTTTATATGGTTTGGAGATTATGATATAATTTATAAAGTTTGAAATGAAGTTTATTATGTGATTTATTGGGTTTGAGGTAAATTATAAAAATATAAATAAGTATAAGTCAATTTCATATACAAAATATAATTTTAAGCATTAAATTGAACAAATATTAAATTTCAAGTTAAGATTTAAATAAATTAAACAACACATGGGGATCAAATCGAAATAATTGTAAAAAATGAAACTAAAATTAATATAAAAATATACTGAATCACATTCATTTCAAAAGTTTAGGAACAAAATTTTATAAGGTTTTAGATATTATAATATAATTTTAAGAACTAAATTGATTAAACATAAAATTACACACTATAATTTAAGTAAATAAATAACATGCAAGAATCAAATTATCTATATATAATATTACACTTATACATTCATTATACTTGTAATATATATGTGTTTATATATACACAAACTTATGTAACCCCTAAACCCGGCCTGGACGTTACAACCGAATTTAGGCGATCACATGTCGTATACAAAAAATCTTTTTCAGTGAATAAAATTCGTATAACGGTAAAAATACGGAAATATGCGATGATAAAGTTTATACGCTAAACATATACATATACATATACCATCACCAAAAAAACGTATAAAATATGCTAAAAATAAAATACAAATAATACAAATACATGAAGACAATAGTAAAAAAATGTGTTGCCAAAGTATAACAAAAAGGGCATACAAAAATATGCAGTGATATAAAAGTGAGGAGAGATCAATCTTTATGATGTCAAGTCCGCTAGCCTACTGTGTGGTACTATCTGAAAGGTTAAAAATAAAGAATGAGCTAAAAAACCTAGTGTGCTCCTTGCGGTGTATAAAAACATATAAATGAAATACTTCGGTAAAAGTTGATTTATAAAATAGGTTTTGAAAACATGAACATTACTCCCATCCAATCACCAAAATGTGTAGATTCCCTTAAACCATACACCCACCTATACACCCGGTAAGGACCTTATATTGATAGCATAAGTGTCTACGGTAAGGACTTACCATGTGCACAAAACAGAAGAGCATACGGTAAGGTCTTACAAGTCATAGACTAGGCTCGAGATACTTCCTCAAATCATACCCCCAATTATAGTAAATGTGTATGTATTTGAGTGAAAACAGTAGTTTAATTTATTAAAACATGACACATTCCAAAATCAGATACAAAAATACAATAATCAAAGATCATGTAGAAAATATATGGTAAATCATATATCATGCAGTCTGAATATTTAATATAATTATAATTTAAAAATAGTTCAGACAGATAATTCAACACAATATTGTAAAACCAATAGGAACATAATTGTATCGGTCTGAGAAGTCGGATATGATAGCCTACTCTTGGGTCTGTCTATCACGATCGACGGTAGTGTTAGATCCTACGAATCAAATGAACTATATCAAAATCCTAACATAATAAATAATAAACTTTAATTCAATTATTTACAGAAACCTACGAGTAGCTCTCGAAGAACGTGGACCGTACAGATCTACAAGTAGCTTGATTTGGGGCTTTCGATTCAGAATTTGGTGAAATGAATCATAAAATTAGACTAAGGACGTCGAAAAACATCAAGTGGGAAGTTTTCAAAAAAACGTCAACGTCATTCAATGGTCAATTTTCAACAGTTCAGTTCGGTTTGGTTGAATCAGTTTGGTCCTGTTCAGTTGAACCAGTTCGATTCGATTCAGAAATGGGTCGGTCTGGTTGAACTAGTTTGGATTTGGACCGAATGGGCCAGAAAATTTGAATCGGGCGATCGGGTCAGTGGGTTGGGTTGACTCGCTTCTAGAAGCTCCACCAAGCGATGGACAAGCCCCACGCATATGGGTGATGTGTGGTGGCGCGTGCAGTGGAGTTTGGTGACGAAAAAATTACAAAAAATTTTCTAAAATAATTTTAAGGAGTTTTGAGACATTTACCTAGCTCAGTTCACAACAATGAACGGTGAGAAGTTCAATTGCGCTATGTCATAAACTTATTATCGCTCACTTCTCTACGCACCGACGATAAGGTGATAAGACAAACATCGGTGTACTCAGGATGACATAAGGAATCCAAAGGTATGGTTGGTGTCGAAAACAGAGCAACGGTTGGCAATGAAACATCGATTGAAGGTTTTTTCCAAAAGTTTCCAAAAAGGGAAGGTTGAAGTTTGAGAACGGTTTTGGGTTTCTAGAAATGGAAACTTTATAAAACCTTATCCAAATGAAAAAGGTAGAATTATGCATGGAGTCCTTAGGCTTTTTCTTATCATCGAATTTGGATTTGAATTAAATTAAAATTTTATTTTGGTCCTAGAATTTAATTAAAATTTATTTTATTCCTTAGAATTAATATTAAGAAAAAAAATCTAAGCCCTACTTTGGGGAGTGACAATTCTCCCCAGTTAAAAGAAATACCGTCCTTGAAATTTACCTAGTTCGAACAGATGTGGGAACTGAGCCTCCGTCGACTCCAACGTCTACTAGGTAGCCTTTGTTGGACCACGGTTACTCCACTAAACTTTTACCATCGAGATACGCCTATTCTGAAGAACTCTCTCATCCTAGTCTAAAATTTGAACATGCTACTCCTCATAAGACAAATCAGGTATCAACTCTATATCTTCGATCTAAATAACGTGACCTGAATCCGGACGGTATCGTCTCAACATAAATACATGGAATGCATGATAAATATAGCTAAGCTGGGGAGGCAACTCAAGTTGATAAGCAACATGCCCGACTCTCTTCATAATACGATATGACCCAATAAATCTTGGACTAAACTTACTCTTGCGTCCAAAACTCAACACCTTCTTTCATGGAGATACCTTAAAAAAAACCTTATTTCTAACCTCAAACTTGATATCTTTCATCCTCTGATCAGCATAAGATTTTTGTTTATCAAAGGCCTCTCTCGAACGATCACAGATCAATCTGACAATATCTCTGTCTAATGGACTAACTCTGAACCCAACGTCCTCCTATCATGTAAATCAATCCAACATATAGGAGTATGACATATACATCCATATAGAGCCTCATATGGTACCATACAGATACTAGCTTGGTAGTTGTTATTGTAAGCAAACTCAGCTAACAGAAAAAAGTCCTCCCAACTACCACAGAAGTCAATCACACAACCCCGTAGCATATCCTCCAGAACTTGTATCACTCTCTCGGACAAACCATCAGTCTGGAGTTGAAAAGTTGTATTGAAGTTTAGACTATTACCCATAACCTCATGTAGATATTTTCAGAATCTAGAAGTGAACCTCGGATCTCGGTCAGAAATGATAGACAACGGAACACCATGAGTCTAACAATCTCATTGATATGTAATCTAGTCAGCTTGTCCACCGAATAATTAACTCGAACATAAATAAAGTTAGCAAATTTAGCGAGTTGATCAACAATCACCTAGAAAAAAATCCTTTCTAGAAGGAGTTAGAGGTAATCCAGTCACAAAATCCATCGTGATGCTCTCCTATTTCCACTCTGGAATCATAATGGGTTGATGCTCTACCTTGACTTGTTAAGAAGTCAGGCACCTCGCCACGTAATCAGAAATGTCTTTCTTCATTCCAACCCAATAGTAACGCTTATTGAGATTCTTGTACATCTTATCTCCACCGAGATACATATCGTAAGGATTATTATGGGCCTCCTGAAGAATGGTCTACCTCAACTCACCATCTCTAAGAACACAATAATGGTCTTGGAAACATAGGACACCATTCTGATCAATAGTATGATCCAAATTCGATCCCTGCTCAATTTTCTCAATAACGGAAAGCAACGAGCTATATAGAACCTGCTTAGCCTTAATCTTCTCGGCTAATGTCGGTTTAACCTGTAACTTTGCTAATAGTTGTTATCATCATAAAGCTCAACCTGGAAAAAAAGTCTCTCAAAGCATATGTTGTTTTATGGCTCAAGGCACCAGCCACCACATTGGCCTTGCCCGGATGGTACTCTATCTTACAATCATAATCCTTTAAAAGCTTCAACCAACGACGTTGCCTTAGATTTAGCTCCTTTGAGTAAGCATATATTTCTCTCCATAGAGATAATATCTTCAGGTCTTTAGAGAAAAGATCACTCCAACTAACTCTAGATCGTGGATGGGGTAATTGTGCTCATGAGGCTTTAACTGACGGGACGTATAAGCTACAACCT